TGGTGCAATTGTTATGGGTGGCATAGGTTGTGAAGTTGGTGGTGGCGGTGCAATCGTTATGGGTGGTATAGGTTGTGAAATTGGTGGTGGCGGTGCAGACGTTATGGGTGACATAGGTTGTGAAGTTGGTGGTGGAAGTGCAAACATTATGGGTGGCATAGGTTGTGAAATTGGTGGTGGCAGTGCAAACATTATGGGTGGCATAGGTTGTGAAGTTGGTGGTGGTGGTGGAAAAAGCACACAAAGATCACATTTGAAAAATATACCCCACCCAACATCACCAATGCACAGGCAGCGAAGATGACCAGAAACATTTTTGCAAATCCAACACATTTCCATATCAAGTGAATCCTCGTTACTCTTGCACTTGTAACATGGCTCAACTAAACTTCCAATTCCTCCTATATATGTATGAAAAAAATTCATTTATTAAAATATAAATTGTAAATCTCGGGCATATGAAAGCGGAACAAATATTGTTCACACACAAAATAAAGTTTTTATTAATTGGGCCTAAATTTAATTACGTCCGCCCAAAATTTTTGTCCAAGTACAAAACTGAAATTGCAAATTAAAGTCCAAAAACGAAATCCAGCCCAAAATTTTATTCCCAAAGTTCCATTAAAACCGGCCCAAGTACACCATGCCTTGTTTTATGCCCTACTATCCTGCTTCTTATCCATTCTCTCGCACTCGTATACCACACAAATCGCCGCCTTATCCCTTCTCTCCCAAAATCACTATATCGGCGATTTCTTCCAACCGCCGACCTCTAATTGGGAGGTTATGAACACGCTGCTTTATAATCTCCATACAATAGCGATGTGATTGTAGATCGATCGTGCGGCAATCTTAAGATGTGGTGTTCAAGGACAGCAGATGATTTGAATCAGGGGTAATTTCGGTGAATTTTTTTTATATTTCCATCGGATTATCTTCATGATTATATACTCCCTTTTTTCAAAGATTATTATGAAATATTAGATCTGAATATTTTCATTTATTCTTCTATGTTAAATTCTTAGGATCTTACTCCTAGATGCATGTTAGCCGCCAGATGACTCATATTTTTTTTAAAAAATCATTTTATAAAAAGATGTTATAAAAATATTTTGAGTAATTCAAACGACATGCATAGAAATTTATAGTTTATCAAGAATATTTTTGACTCCGGTTATTGAAAATGTGTTCTTAAGATTACATATATGTTTTTTCAAATTTGTTTGTGAAAAGAGTAGTATATTTAATCGATTATAATCTATGTAAAACGCCTATCTTGTTGAAGAAATTAATATTTTTCCAGTAATTCATAATTTCAATGTGAATTTCATAATTTTTAAAAGAACATATCAAATCTTTTTACTCTCTTTCGTAGATGTATGATATTATTTCTTAAGAGTACATATATGTTTTTTCAAATTTGTTTGTGAAAAGAGTAGTATATTTAATCGATTATAATCTATGTAAAACGCCTATCTTGTTGAAGAAATTAATATTTTTCCAGTAATTCATAATTTCGAAGTGAATTTCATAATTTTTAAAAGAACATATCAAATCTTTTTTCTCTCATTCGTAGATGTATGATATTATTTCTATACCAATTTTCTGATTAGGTGCTTTGAAAAAAAATTTAAAAAATGAATTTTTTCGTACAAATAATTTTTAAGAATAATTCAAAAGTTCTTCTTTTTCTGAAGTTTTCTCAGACACCTTTAGTCCTAAACGTGAAATATTCATTGCTAATGTTAAAAAGTAATAATCTAAAACAGGGAGTATACATGAATGTTTACAAAAAAGCAATTTGAACCTTATTGACCATGTTCAATAATAAATATTGAACATGATGAAGGTTCTATTGCACATTAAAAGTTTTATTAAGGCAGAAAATTGAAAGTAGACAGAGATCGTCATGGCTGGTATGTCTTTTAAACAGGTAATGAAATATTTTTATTTATATTAAGTATATATATATATATATATATATGTTAATTTTGTTAATTTTTTCTTTATTAATTTATGTAAGCAATAGAAGTTACCTTTGTCCAATTCCTCTTCTGAATCATGCATTGAAAATATTCTTTCAGATTTCGTTAGCTTTCTCATCGGGGAGACACTTATCACATGTATCCTGTTTGAATTACAATGATATAACTAAATGAGCTCGCTAAATTACAAAAGTAACATGGATTATTGATAATTTTATTTTATCATCAAAACAAATCATTTTAGGCCATGTTTCAGAAGTGTGATTTGAAAATATTTGCCATAACTAATTTTTTCAGTCACTGGCATTTTCAATAAATTTAAAACATTAGTCTTTTAGAATTTTAAGAATAATAAGTCAAGACCCACGAAGCAAAACATATTTGTTTCTTAAAACCATTTTCAAATCAGTAGAGAGTAAATTACTAACCTTAGAGAGGAAGAATTTAATGCTAGTCTTGAATGCTCAATATCAACTTCAATGAGATAATTGGTTAGGAGGTTGAGAAATAAATGAGGTAAGTTAGAGGGGAACACTAATATACTTGCAATCCTATTTAGTGTATTAAATGCAAGGAACTAAAGCCTAGGTGATATAGGTGTGTGGCTCAACGTTCTGTGGTTGTATTAATTAGGGTTCGAGTTCCCATTACTGGATTTATAATTGTATAAATATTTACTGCTTATATGTATATTAAGATATGTATTTATGTATATATATATATATGTATGTATATATGTATATATACATATATATACGTATATATATAAATATAGGCACAGGATAAATACATGTATTTGTATATTTAGAAATATTTTAACAATTTTTAGAAGAAAATATTAATACACTATTTTCATTCTGCTATGATATAAATATTTAATTATTTAGAAATAAGTATTTATTTATATTTAATGCAGTGCAGGCGTGTGGCTCTAGGAGTGTTAAAACAACTTAACTTTTTTTTTAAAGAAGTCACTTATGATTTTTTTTTACACATTGGGCATCACAACTCACAAATTAATTTTTTCGAATTTCCATTAAAAAAGGAGCATTGGGCCACCCACCAATGTGTAACTTTACATTTAATACACATTGGGCCACACACCCCATAATTACAATAATTCACAGAGTCCATTTAAACAAATATGTCAGTACATTTACATATACACATATACATTTACATATATATATATATATATATATATATATACACATTTACACATATATATACATTTACATATATATATATATATATATATACACACACACACACACACACACATACATACATATATATATATATATATATATATATATGTATGTATATATATATATATGTATGTATGTATGTATGTATGTGTGTGTGTGTGTGTGTATATATATATATATAAGAAGCAAGGAAGTTATGAATGAATGTAATATACGGAGTATATATTAATTTTTGTTGGGCCTTTATTTAGGGAGTCATGAATTTAAATATTGGATTATGCTATTCATGTTTAATAAGTATTTATTTCGACCTTTTTATCAAACATACATGTATATTGAAAATTTCGTGTCTAATTTATCTATAATATGTCAGTATATTATTTTATCTCTAAATCAAAATCTCGTGTCTACTAAGTCATTATTTTTAATTTTAAAAAATTCCATGAAATTATTTCAATTAATTTATATTATCATATCATTGAATATTTTCGAAAATTTAAAAATAAAGGAAATCAGTGAATAGGCTATGTCATAATGAAGGTAGAAAAATCTCATTTAATGCAGTCCCAGGCGTGTGGCTCTAGGAGTGTTAAAACAACTTAACTTTTTTTTAAAGAAGTCACTTCAATGGGATTTTGGAAAATATGATATTTATTACACATTGGGCATCACAACTCACAAATTAATTTTTTCGAATTTCCATTAAAAAAAGAGCATTGGGCCACCCACCAATGTGTAACTTTACATTTAGTACACATTGGGCCACACACCTCATAATTACAATAATTCGCAGAGTCCATTTAAACAAAATAAAGGAAAATAGTGAATAGGCCTAGGTCATAATGAAGGTAGTAAAATCTCATTTAATGCACTCCCAGGCCTGTGGCTCTAGGAGTGTTAAAACAACTTAATTTTGTTTTATGGAAGTCACTTCAATAGGATTTTTGAAAATATGATATTTATTACACATTGAGCCACACACCTCACAAATTGATTTTTTCGAATTTCCATTAAAAAAAGGAGCATTAGGCCACCCACCAATGTGTAACTTCACATTTAATACACATAGGGCCACACACCTCATAAATCTAATATCTCGCATGCTTCATTTTTTTAATAATAATTTTCAAGGTTCTTAACTTATAGGCATGTATGTTTAACATAAAATTATATATTTTTCTAAATTAGTACCAAATATGGACTTATTTTCTCAATGTTTGAAAATCCTGATTTGATAAATACGATATTAATTACACATTGGGCTACACACCAATAGGTGCACACCGAAACAATAATTTTGTATGTTCGTATGTATATAAATTTTTTCTTCACCTTTTTTATTTATTTACTGAAATTAGTACCACATTTCGGTTATAACGTCTATTTCAAGTGTATCTAATACGGCATTGTTGTAAATTTAACATTCATTACACTTTGGGTTTCAAAACAATATTTAATAAGACATTTTTATTTACATTGGGAAACACACCCAATAAATTTTGATATTTTCCAAAGTCTAAAAATTAACGGAGCATTGTATAAACCATTAGTACTGATGTATTTTCCATAAGTTTATTACAAAGTGTTTTCGTATGGTTGGCTATGCATACTTATGTTCTCTTGAATAAAACCTTTATGTATGTTTATGATTCCTTAGCTGTTTTATTGAATTGACTTTGCCATAAATTAGTGATAAAATATGCACACGTATATTTTTACATTGAATATATATAAGCACAATGATATTATATTAAAGATTGTAAGTTGGTATACATGTAAATTTTTATTTTGAATATAAGAACACAAAAGGAATGCAAACTTTTCATTTTCTTATGACCCAAATGATAGCATTTCAAATAGCTTTGTTAATAGTTAAAGTGTTATAAAAACACTTCTAACTTTAGAGTTCAACATACAAAATACTTAAGGAGAATGTCTAAGATAAGAAAACAACCACCAAATAACAAACACTTTCATAACCCCAAAAAACATAAAGACAACATTAAGCAAAAGACAAAAAGGGTTGTCCAAAATGGGGTTACATAGCCGTCCTTAAACATTCACACATCCTCGTGAATCATTTTGGCTTTCTTCTTTGATGATTGCCCGTCCAGTTCATCAAATAATTCTCTTCTCACGGAGTCATTCTCATCGACATCATCAATCTTTCTTGGCCTTGTGTTCACGCTCTGGCTTGAACTCGGTTCACTTGTACCAATCTAATTTAAAATTTAGGAATAATTAGAAGAGTCGAAAATAATTATAAAAACAAATAGATAAAAGAAAAAAAAACATTGTACCACTTCATTCACTTCTTGGCTCAAATCTTCTAGTGAATTCCACCAACCTTCACTTTCTTCCTCGGATTCCTTGTCCTCCACAAATGCAACATGTTCATAGTTTTTCAAGATCTTCGTGTCAGTGACCAAAGATCTAACACCAAAAGCCCTTGGCCCTGTCCAGTGTGGACTACCGACATCTGGTTTCAAGAGAACGTTAAACAAACACTTCTGTCCAAGGAAGCGATTCAATTCGGTTGGGAGCAAATTCGGATCCATGTTTCTCTGTTCTAAAAAACAATAATATACAAAAAATTAGACATACGAATATACTACTTTTACAAATATTTTATGAAACATAGATTCCGAAAATAACCTCTAGCATAATCTCTCTCAATAAGAAGCGCTTGCACCGAGGACATTCTTGCATTCTTTGTCCCAAAGAATGATTGAGGCATGACCGGTTGAGTTGTAAACACGAACATTAACTTTGAACATATTTCATAAAGTGTAAAACTTGCATTAACAATAGGTCACATAGCAACATAAATGATTTGTAATTTTAAATAATCAAAAAGAAATTAAACAATAGTTACTTGTAAACTCCATGAGGAATAGTAATGCGACATCCGGAACACCTGAAACTCTCGCCATCAGGGATTACTTTCTTGTTGCAATCAGTACATCCCAAATAACACCAATCAGCCACATTTTCTAGAGATGCTATTTCACCAACAATCCAATATGGCCCAGGCTGTCAATAGATTCAATATTTTTGTTAGGTCTAAGTGTATTATATTTTTTCTTCTCAATGTGAAAGTGTTATTTTATTACCTTAGTTGTCTCCAATAGATTTCTAATTGTGGTTATAGACATAACCCCGTGATCATCATCATCTACCCCAACTAGCATGAGACCACCCACTGGACCCCCATCATCAACATGCAATGGTAACCTACAATATTTCATTAGTATATAGTTAGTAGACAAAAAAATAATAATAATTTCGGCCGAAAAAATAATATAAAATAGATTGTTACCTTGCTCTAAATGCATTGACCTCAGCGGAATTGCCATCAAAAATCATATTTGTTACGTGGAATGAAGTTGAAACCGTCACAGTACCTACACAAAGAATTTAGCTTTAGTAACACAATATTAAAATTTATATTGCAATTAAAGTTTGAGGAATTTTATCTTACCCATGTAGCGTTTTGGTTTGCAAAAACTCAAGAGTAGAATCATGGGTTCCTGCACATTTTGGGTCAAACAACCCAAAAATCTTTCCACATATTCTCCCCATAGGGTACATCCCAAACGATTACCCCTGAAAATTTCACACTTAAGCAAAAGTGAATGTATAATGCTATATGAACATTTCATATCAAATTTTATTCATACTCATGATCTTCTAGTGTTATTTCCATCAACTTTTGTTCTTCGCCCATTCTTATGTGTGTTTGAACTTTTGACCGGCCAACAATTTTCCCAATCACATCTGCATTGATTTTCTCGATGAGTTTGTGTGTATGAATGATCATTCAACAATGTTTGCATATTATGATACTTTATTAATTTGTTTAAAAAAATATAGTACCAATCAAGACTTGATCGTTCAAAATCGGTTGGTTTTGAATTGTCGCAAAAGATTTCAAATCAAACATGAAACGTGGAAAATCACTTCCATTCAATGTTTTGACTTGTGTTTTTACGTAAAAACCCAAAAGTTTCTCATTTGAGGTAGTTTTGACGGATTGGAAATTGTCATGAACAAAAACATCCCGAATCCCATAAACACCGTTCTCCACAATTTGATTCTCAAACCGTTTTTTTTCCGGTTTTTTGAGATGTGCGTGAATCCTTGCGCCCTACACAAACAAAGAGAGTTTAGATTAGAAATAGTTAATATATAAATTACGATTATGTACAAAAAAAGTTTGAACGTAATACATGTTCATCGTGAAAAACGACTTCCATTGAATCTCCGCCTTTGGTCCAAGCGGGAACAAAATACACACGCACGGCCCGTAACTTGAACATCAGATTCGGCCGAGTGTTGCCAAGCTCACCAACGGGAGACCACATGCTTAAAGAAGACGTTTGAGACATTTGATGATTATTTTGGATGTTTGAGATGTGAATTTGGAGTGAATGAAGTTTAACTTATAATGCTTGAGTATTTATAATCATGCTCCATGATACATGTATCCATGCATTAAATGGTTTAGATTTTAAAAATCTTTAAAAAAGATGGATTTGACACAAAGTAATATTTTTTAAAACTACCTTTATGGAGCCACCAATTTTATGCTACCAATGCAACTTTTTCGAAGCTAGTAATGAATGGACATAAAGCAGGCCATTTCCGTATATCAATGCAGGCCAATTCTGTCAACCAATGCAGGTCCATTTCATCAACCAATGCAGGCCCATTCCATCAACCAAAACAGGCCCAAACCTGCCCCAAGGCCCGCCTACTTTAGGCGAGAACACTGCTCACAGAGAATTCCACCTAGCATTGTATATAGGAGGATTTCATTAAGAAAAATTTTCAAACTTCTTCATTTCTTTTTCAAAGGTTAAGCATATTTATTTCTTTAAAATTCGTACAAATGAAACAATAAATGAATGTGCCACCACACGTTTTTTTAAAAAAATTTGTGCCTTCGAAAATTTGTTCAGTTTTTTAAATAGTTTCATACATATGAAAAAATATAATAAGCCCCCGAGCACCGTTTTTTAAATCTGTGCAGTACAAAAAATATTTTCCTTCTTCTCAACAACTTTTAAAATATCTTGGCAGTTTGCACTAAAAAAATTCCAACACATATTATAAAATATGTCTCAACATCTTTATGTCAAAAACAGTTTTAAGATCAATCATACAAATGTCTAATATTAAGAGCTATATTCATGTAGACGTGATTGGAAAGATTGTTGCCCGAACTAAGGTTCAAACAACCATTATTAGAGCCGGAGAACAAAAATTCATGGAAGTCACACTTGAGGATCATGAGTATGAATATAAACAAGAGAATAAAGTCACTTATTGAAAAATAATTTATTTAGACTTGAGCAATGAAAGGATATTATAGGGGAAATCGATTGGGATGCACTCTATGGGGAGAGTATGTGGATCGTTTTTGGGTTGTTTGACACAAAATGCTCGAGAACCGGTGATCATGTTGTTGAGCTTTTGCAAATCACGGCGTTATATGGGTAAATTATTTCTTTTATTTTGTGATTTTACTACTTTAATGACGGATATATAATATTTACATTGTATGTTTATAGGTACTGTGACCGTCTCTTCTTCTTTTCATGTTACGAAGATGTTTTTCGATGATAACTCTCCAGAGGTCAACGAATTCAGAGCAAGGTATATTTTTTAAATATAAATACAGAATTAATTTTATAGGATGATTACACCTCCTTATCTAAAAAATTTTTTGTATCCAGGTTGCCTCTACAAGTGGATGACGTTGGAACAATTGGAAGTATCGTTCTAAGCGTTGGAGCTGATGGGGATGAAGGTGTTATCAAGACTACCACGATTAAAGCTCTCTTGGACACTACAAAGGTGACGTGTTAAAAATTCTAAATTTAATGTTCAAAAGTCTAATATATAAAAGTCTTAAAATTTGTGTTTGATGTTTTATAGCCCGGTTTCTACTGGATTGTTGGTAAGATTGCTTCAATAAATGATTCGGGCGATAAGTTGATTAGTTGATTTTTATATCAGTTTGCTTCCCCAAAAAAAGCAAGTTAACTTTTTTACTTGATGAATTTTTGTACTTAATAAATCTTAGATCCTTCGCCAATAAACAGACTTCTCAGAGGTAGCTGATGAATCAATCTCCCATGGAGGCTAATCATCACAGGCAGCTTGTTCTAAAATGCGCCGTCGTCTCGAGACTAGTGGTGATATTTTTAGCAATTCTATGGAGATGTCTTCTTAGCCCCTACGACACATCTGCTTCCATAGACCCTAGCTGCCTCACATCCGAATTGAATTCACACGCGCCGCCAGTTCTCCTCCCGCGTGTGGCGGCAGCAATTGAGAACGGCATTGTATGGGACAGTGTATACTTTGTTCGGATCGCGCAGTGTGGATACGAATACGAACAGTCATATGCATTCTTCCCTCTCCTTCCCATTTCCATTTCCCTGCTCTCTAGATCAGGTATGTTCTGTTATTTGTCGATTTCCATTTTTTTTGTTTTCTGTTTTTTATAGATCATGTATTCGTTTCTGGCTTCATTGTTTACAGATTGATTGATATTGATGAATATCTCACTGAGTTTATAAATGTATATTTTATCCAGTTTTTTCCCCGTTGATACCCGTGATTGGACATAGAGCTGTTCTGGGATTATCTGGATGCGTGCTCAATAACATTGCATTTGTTTTAGCTGCTCTGTATCTTTACAGGTAATGTTTGTGCTATTTAAATTTGCTAAGGGAAATTGCTGGTTATGATGAGTTCGTAAGGGACATATTAGTACATCAATATTTTTAGTTAATTAATGCCATTATCTATTCAGGGACAAATAAGCATTGTAGTAGGAAAAAGCATATGGTGGTCATGCTTTCTTTTGGAGCCATGTTTTAGTAATATCTAAGATAATGCTCCTGCTGAGCTATATAGGAAAGTACCTATCTTTTTGTAATATCTAAGATATATAATGATTTTCTTGTTCTTGTTGAGAGTCTTCTAAGCTCACTAGTCACAACTCATGAATTTTTGTCTAGTTGTCTCTGCTATTTAGGCAAGGGATGCCAAAAGGGCACTTTCATTT